GCTCTGCTCCTCTTCATCTCCTTTCTTCTTTTAACCTCTCCTCTTCTCATCTCCTCCTTCGCACCCGCAATGTACAACTCAGTTTTTTTTTTAAAACTATTCTTTTCACCACTGTTCACGGCCAAAGGTATGGGGAAGATCTGTTTCAACCTGGAGGAGGGAGAATCTGTGTCACTTTGAAACAGTGAGCCAATTTGGGGAATTTTTTTTTACATTTCCTTGATAAATGATGGGGAAATATAATTACTTGGTTTGACATTCAATTGAAATTGTATTTCAATGGGGAATCTCTTTTTCTGAACTCCTGTTGCTATGTGAGTGTTGTAATGAATAGAACAGAGGTGCCTGGAGGAATGTGTGGATGTTGGCCTTAGCTGCTGTCATGTTGTCCTTCTGGCCTTATACTAGTTGCCAGTGTATACTTCATTTTGCCTAATTCTATTCGAAACACACTATCAAATAGTTACACACATGCAATGATTTCCACCGACTTGAAAAAAAATGGGATTTGTTTACAGTAAACACAGACGGATGTTACACTGTTGTTAGACTGTTGGTACAACATTTTTATCTCTCAATACGCTATATGCGTTTAGATGTGTTTGTATTACTTTAAACGTATATTTGAAGACCTAAAAAAAAATGTGCCGTAAATGACCCCCCCCAAAAAAACGTGACTAGGGATTGTTTTATAGGACATCTCTTTATCATGAATTTCACTTTTTGCAGGGTCTGTCTGGAACTGTATATGTTTGTATCATTTAAGAAACATATCAACAAGAATGTTCAGAAGGATCAGTCGAAGACATTTAAGTGGTACAATCCCCTCACAGCTGCTCTAAGTGACCCTCTACCCTACCCTCCTGGGGGGAGAAGCAGTTGGAAAAGATGATGGAAACAGGAAGAGAGGTCTACTGTGAGCATCTCGCTTTCCCTGCTGGGCGACACGTGGTTTTTAAAAGAATCCGAGGGAATTCCAGACTCATTCATGCAGCCTGAGAAAACAATTGCGTCTGCTTTGCTGGCTGTCACTCTCGCTCCTCGCTGTCTCGATCCCGGACAGTGGCTGAGAGGGGACAGCTGGCTGGCAGTGTACATGTGTAGGTATCTAGCTTTATATGTGCTTCTCTTTTTCTTTGTGTATGGGTGAGCCTATGAGGTCACGGGTCAAGCGGCAGTTCACAGACAGCGACATTGTTCCCCTCCTAACAGGAAGGGAGGGCACTGTCCATATGTTGTCTTCACTCACTCACTCACTCACACACACACACACACACACACACACACACACACACACACACACACACACAC